AGTTAATGAAAATGAATAGGAGGGGTTATGCAAATATTCAAATATCAAAATGTTTTGACAGGTTGACGGGTGGTCCTAGGAAGGCTGTACTTACATGCAGAGTGCCAGTTTGTTTCAAATGCCGCTTTATACATTGACATAACTTTTTAGATCCAGACAGTATGATCACCTGCTGACTTAGCATCATCCACAGGCAGCTTAACTCTGCAGTAAGACAGTAATCCAGACTTTTGAAATGTAAGAAGACAATGGAGTTGATTTTGCCAAGGCAAATAGACTGTGCACTTTGCAAGTGTGGTTGCACTCTGCAAGTGCAGTTGCTCAAGAGCTTAGTAAGCAAGGGAAGCTCTGCTGGCTTCCATTATCCAATCATGTGCAAGCAAAAATACAGTTTTTTTTCAAATTTCTTGCATGCGATTGGGTATTCTTGACAATGTGAAGCTTTAACTCATTTACTAAGCTCTGGAGCAACTGTATTTGCAAAGTGCTCAGTCTATTTGCCTTTAGTAAATTTACCCCGAGCCTTGCCTCTGCAAAGTACTAACACTGACTGAGGGAATACAGAAAAAAAAACGGAGGGTTTAGCAAGGACTGAACTTACCAGAATCAAACAGGAGGGGGAGGACATGGTAGGGAGAAGCCAAATCACATAGTAAAGTTGCACTGGCCCAAAACTGCCACTAGATGTCAGCATACTACAAAACAATAATAACCTGATGCAGTTCAATACAATGCAGAAAAAAAAAAACATAAATTACATAATTAGATAGTTAGTCTGGCTGAAAAAAGACAAACGTCCATCCAGTTCAACCATTAAAAAAAAAAAGTTATAGTCCTACACCTACAGTTGATCCAGAGGAAGGCAAAAAAAAAAAACGAGCAAAGCACGATCCAATTTGCTCCAGCAGGGGAAAAAACTCCTTAACAATCACCCGAAAGGCAATCAGATATTTCCTGTATCAACTTTACCTATAAATGTTAGTATCCAGTTATATTCTGTGTATCTAGGAAAGAATCCAGGACTTTTTTAAAGCAATCGACTGAGCTGGCCAGAACCAACTCTTGAGGGAGTCAATTCCACATTTTCACAGCTCTTACTGTGAAGAAACCTTTCCGTGTTTGGAGATTAAATTTCTTTTTCTCAAGACGTACAGAGCGCCCCCTTGTCTTCTGTGATGACCTCAGGGTGAATAGCTCTACACCGAGTTCACTATATGAACCACTGATGTATTTGTACATGGAGATCATATCCCCCCTTATGTATTATACATGGAGATCATATCCCCCCTTACATATTATACATGGAGATCATATCCCCCTCTTATGTATTATACATGGAGATCATATCCCCCTTATGTATTATACATGGAGATCATATCCCCCCTTATGTATTATACATGGGAGATCATATCCCCCTTATGTATTATACATGGTGATCATATCCCCCCCTTTTGTATTATACATGGTGATCATATCCCCCCTTATGTATTATACATGGTGATCATATCCCCCCCTTATGTATTATACATGTTGATCATATCCCCCCTTATGTATTATACATGGTGATCATATCCCCCTCATGTATTATACATGGAGATCATATCCCCCCCCCTTATGTATTATACATGGAGATCATATCCCCCCCCCCTTATGTATTATAAATGGTGATCATATCCCCCCCCCCCCCTTATGTATTATACATGGTGATCATATCCCCCCTTATATATTATACATGGAGATCATATCCCCCCTTATGTATTATACATGGTGATCATATCCCCCCCCTTATGTATTATACATGGTGATCATATCCCCCCCCCCCCCCTTATTTATTATACATGGTGATCATACCCTCCCCCCTTATCTATTATACATGGTGATCATATCCGCCCCTTATGTATTATACATGGAGATCATATCCCCCCCTTATGTATTATACATGGAGATCATATCCCCCCTTCTGTATTATACATGGAGATCATATCCCCCCTTATGTATTATACATGGAGATCATATCCCCCCTTCTGTATTATACATGGAGATCATATCCCCCCTAATGTATTATACATGGTGATCATATCCCCCCTTATGTATTATACATGGAGATCATATCCCCCCTTATGTATTATACATGGAGATCATATCCCCCTTATGTATTATACATGGAGATCAAAAATAGTCTATTTCTGACAGTTCTGGGACATTCACTCCATACAGCGGTTGAAACATTGTATCTATTTGATTCTATGGATCCATTTATGGAAACAAATAGATACAATGTTTCAACCGCTGTATGGAGTGAGTGTCCCAGAACTGTCAGAAATAGACTATTTCTGACAGTTCTGGGACACTCACTCCATACAGCGGTTGAAACATTGTATCTATTTTTTTCCATAAATGACATTCTGCAAATACACTTAGAGGAGCTCTGCAGATTCACTTTTTGCGCCGCTTGGAATTATTCTTATTTTCATCCTACTTCTTCTTCTTCTTCTTCTTCATCCTCATCCTCATCCTCTTTCTTCTTATGAGGTGCAGATACACTTTTTGCCGGCTTGGAATTATTCTTATTTTCATCCTACTTCTTCTTCTTCTTCTTCTTCATCCTCATCCTCTTCTTCTTCTGAGGATGAGGATGAAGAAGAAGAAGAAGAAGTAGGATAAAAATAAGAATTCCAAACCGGCAAAAAGTGTATGTGCAGAGTTCCTCTATTTCTGACAGTTCTCTGACAGCTCCTTCACATGTACAGTGGTTGAAACATCTGTATCCTAAATGGAAACTAATAGATACAATGTTTCAACCGCTGTACATGTGAAGGAACTGTCAGAGAAATGTCAGAAATAGCGGAGCTCTCTGCAGGGACACTTTTGCCGGCTGATCGGGAAAATTTCGGATTCGCCGCGAATCGAACGCGAAAAATTTTCCTGAAATTCGTATCGAATTCCGGTTCGCCTGGTTCGATTCGCTCATCTCTAATGGTGATCATATCCCCCCTTATGTATTATACATGGAGATCATATCACCCTTATGTATTATACATGGTGATCATATCCCCCCTTATGTATATACATGGAGATCATATCACCCTTATGTATTATACATGGTGATCATATCCCCCCTTATGTATTATACATGGAGATCATATCCCCCCTTATGTATTATACATGGTGATCATATCCCCCTTATGTATTATACATGGTGATTATATCCCCCTTATGTATTATACATGGAGATCTTATCCCCCCCTTAATCTCCTTTTCACAAGAGAGAATAAATTCAGTTCCTCTAAACTTTCCTCAGCTTGGCATTGCTGCCATTATTAAGCTTGTGATCTACCAGAACTCCCAGATCCTTCTCCACCATTGATTCCCCCAGTTGTACCCCCCCAGTATGTATGATGAATGCATATTCTTAGCCCCAAGTGCAGAACCTTACATTTATCAACATTAAAATTAATTTGCCACATAGTTGCCCAATTACAAATTGAAGACATCCTGTAAGACGTTATTCCACTGCACAGCTTGGTGTCAATCTGCAAAGACTGAAATGGGTTGTTTATGTGTAATCCCCATTGTTGGAAACATATGTGTGTTATAGGCATCCATAATCAATAAGTAGTTAGGTGTGCAAATTATTATATATATACTGTATATTATTATTATTATTATATACAACTATAGATAAAACTACAACTCTTTACAGTTAAGATTTTACATTGAAAATATTGGCATACAAGAAAGTAATGATCATAAATTAGGAATAATATCTAATAACATCTCCAAGGCATTTATATAGTTTTCACAAGGCTCCCCCCCCCAATTTTGCTATTATAGTGGGATATTAATCTTTCCCTATGTATTATACATGGTGATCATATCCCCCTTATGTATTATACATGGAGATCATATCCCCCCTTGATGTATTTATACATGGAGAATATATCCCCCCTTATGTATTATACATGGAGATCATCATATCCCCCCTTATGTATTATACATGGTGATCATATCCCCCCTTATGTATTATACATGGTGATCATAATGATCATATCCCCCCTTATGTATGGTGATCATATCCCCCCCTTGTATTATACATGGTGATCATATCCCCCCTTATGTATTATACACTTTGGTGATCATATCCCCCCTTATGTATTTATAACATGGAGATCATATCCCCCCTTATGTATTATACATGGTGATCATATCCCCCCCTTATGTATTATACATGGAGATTCATGGTGATCATCCCCCCCCCCCTTATGTATTATACATGGAGATCATATCCCCCCTTTATGTGTTATACATGGAGATCATATCCCCCCTTATGTATTATACATGGAGATCATATCCCCCTTATGTATAATACATGGAGATCATATCCCCCTTATGTGTGTTAATACATGGAGATCATATCCCCCCCCCCTTATGTATTATACATGGAGATCATATCCCCCCCCCCCCTTATGTATTATACACGGAGATCATATCCCCTCTTATGTATTATACACGGAGATCATATCCCCTCTTATGTATTATACATGGAGATCATACCCCCCCTTATGTATTATACATGGTGATCATATCCCCCTTATGTATTATACATGGAGATCATATCCCCCCTTATGTATTATACATGGAGATCATATCCCCCCTTATGTATTATACATGGTGATCATATCCCCCCTTATGTATTATACATGGAGATCATATCCCCCCTTATGTAATATACATGGAGATCATATCCCCCCTTATGTATTATACATGGAGATCATATCCCCCCTTATGTATTATACATGGAGATCATATCCCCCCTTATGTATTATACATGGAGATCATATCCCCCCTTATGTATTATACATGGAGATCATATCCCCCCTTATGTATTATACATGGAGATCATATCCCCCTTATGTATTATACATGGCTTCGAGGGTTTTTACGATGAAATACAATAAAAATAATGTGAAAGAGGAAGAAGGTTTATGTACGGCTTTATATCACTGTGTGGATGGGATGCTCTTAAACTGATGACAGTAATATACTCCTGCATCATCTTCCGCAGCTCCTTTAACAGTAAAAGTGAATTCTCTCCCAGATCCGGATCCAACATACTTCTCAGGAATTCCGGAGAACCTTTTTACAGCATCGTATAGAAGACCTCTCCCTGGTTGTCCTGGTCTGTGTTGGGTCCAGCTTAGGCCATCAACCTTATACTGATCCAGATAAATACTTTCACTGACTCTACAAGAGATAACGACATCTTCTCCCGAAGACACAGATATAGAACCTGGAGACTGAGTCACTGTGATCTCTGCATGTGATCCTACATGAAAAAAAAAACATTTGTTCTTATATACTTTCTTACAAAAGGTATATACCTAAGGTATGAGTATACAGGTCTATACATGTGCTGCCAAAACAAAATGTTGTTACCGTACCATCAATGTAAAGAGACAACAGACAGAGCAGATATGTCAGAGGAAGCATCTCGTATCAAGACAGTTGACTCTTTCACCCACCACATGAATAAATGTCTTTTGAAGCAAATTATTTATATCTTATGCAGGAAATAACCTCTGAGATGTTGTATGTAAATCTGGGAAGATGCAAATGTCCCATTAACTGGGGAAGTACTTAAATCATGCACTTTTTTATATTTATCTGAGTTGTATAGAGAAAATGACATAATAAAGATCCTGTCTGCAGTAAAGAAAAATGTTTAATAAAGAATGTTGATTTTCATAATCCCCAAACCTTCCCACCCCTGTATATCACTGGGTAGAGCTAAACACAGGATAATATGGACATGTTAATGTGTAAGTGCAGGTTTTCTATTATGTTAAATAGCTTGCTGGTCCAAACAAACTGTTTAATTTATGTACACTGCTCAAAAAAAATTAAAGGAACACTTATGGCAGTCAGGGTGCCATTGTCTAGCCTGTAGAGGTCTGTGTGTCCCTCCATGGATATGCCTCCCCAGACCATCACTGACCCACCACCAAAACGGTCATGGTGAATGATGTTACAGGCAGCATAATGTTCTCCACGGCTTCTCCAGACCCTTTCATGTCTGTCACATGTGCTCAGGGTGAACCTGCTCTCATCTGTGAAAAGCACAGGGTGCCAGTTGTGGACCTGACAATTCTGATGTTCAATGGCAAATGCCAATCGAGATCTATGGTGCCGGGCAGTGAGCACAGGGCCAACTAGAGGATGTCGGGCTCTCAGGCCACCCTCATGAAGTCTGTTTCTGATTGGTCAGAGACATTCACACCAGTGACTTGCTGGAGGTCATTTTGTGGGGCTCTGGTAGTGTTCATCCTGTTCCTCCTTAAACAATGGAGCAGATAACAGTCCTGCTGATGAGTTAAGGACCTTCTACAGCCCTGTCCAGCTCTCCTAGAGTAACTGCCTATCTCCTGGAATCTCCTCCATGCTCTTGATACTGTGCTGGGACACACAGCTAACCTTCTGGCCATGGCATGTATTGATGTGCCATCCTGGAGGAGTTGGACTGTCTTTGTAACCTCTGTAGGGTCCAGGTATCGCCCCATACTGTGATGGATTTGGTAAAATGCCTATTTTGTTTCCTATTGAATATATATATATATATATATATATATATATATATATATATATATATACACTATTTTTATACACATTTTTATACATATTTACTTTTATACTTTAATACATATGTTGTGTGAATATTTTCTGCCTGCTGGGCTTTGTGGTACTATAAGAAATCCTTGCTTAAGAAATGTCTGCTCACACACACAGACCCCCTCCCACCGTGTGATTTGGAAGACAAAAGAATGTTTTTCTTTCTATAAGATAAGACGGAAGAAGATCACACCTATACCATGATGGAGATTGTTTTCGTGTAAAGTGACCAAAGACTAATATAATGCTTATGCTGTTATCACGTGATGTTCGCATCATTTTTCATATATAAACTCACGGTTTCATTTCAATAAATTAGAGAGACGTTTTCACAGACCAAACGTGTCAGTGTGAGTTTCTTTATGTGCGCACATTCCAGAAGCTGGCCAGCATCATAAATTAGGACAGGAACAGATAAGCACTGGACAATTCAGTCCTCGACTAAATCAATACTACCAGTAGTGACACTGACCCTAGGAAATGCAAAACTAGTGAAAAACAGTCAGAAAAGATGAGTGGAGGAAAAAATGTCAGTGGCCTCCACCTGTAATACCATTCCTGTTTTGGGGGTTGTCTCATTGTTGCCCATCTAGTGCACCTGTTGTTAATCAGTTTTCAGCTGCTTTGGTGTTAATGAAATTAACAACCCCCTCTGCTACTTAACTGACCAGATCAATATCCCAGGAGCTTAATTGACTTGATGCGGCTCAGATTAAAAAGTGCTCCTTTAATTTTTTTGAGCAGTGTATATTCTTAAAACTGTCCTGCAGTAACTTAATTCTTGTAGTGAAGCCACAACCCTTGTTGTTTGTCTCCAATACATTTTTGCCTAGCCTTGCTATTTAAACTTTCCTACTACTGGGTCAGCGGGGCATCACAACAATTCCCTTCTACCCATTTTTTTTTCAGTTTAAAAAATGAAGGTGTGGTTTGTGGGTGTGGCTACAAATGAGGGTGTGGTTCTGTGATCATGGTCAGTAGAGTGTCCCCAGATTTAATTTTGAAAGTCTTATAACCTTAAAGTGATTGTAAACCCTCACTTTGTAATACAACCCATTTCATGTAAAATAAAAGTGAAAGGCAAAACATTTGTGTATAGATATAAAGGAAAATTTTATAAACACTTTTTTTTACCCCTTACCTTCTGTTCTCAGCTGCATAGGGAGCTCAGAGAACTGGGGGAGAAGAAACAGCAGGACGCTGGTCTTCTCAATGAATGGCTGTACAGGACAATCTGATCATTGGAGGTGAGTAGGTTGACTTCTCAGCACAGCCATAAAACTGACCACGCTGTGCTCTCATGCCTAGTGTGGTCAGTTTTAAATAGGGAAGCAGAGATCTAGCAGAACACCAGGGATTTCACAGAAAAGAAACACAAAGAGAATAGGATACTTTTTCATAGCAGTACATAGTACAGCAGGCACATATCAGGAATATGATATGTTGGCTTTACATATTCTTTCATTCTTCTAGCAAAACACCTGCCTTCTTTTCAACCAATTTTTCTTCATTAAAAATATCCTGCTGCTGTCCCATACAACACTGTTGTATGCTTTTTGGTCTCTTAAATCTAAAGTTTTGATAGAAATTGGTCAGTGGTAGACCAGCTTTTCAACTATGGGTACAGGAACAGCCTCACCAAACGACTGGCCAATTTCTATTTGCCAGTCAAAGTGGGTCTGTTACCACTTGATGAAAAATCAGGTGTTGATGAGAAAAAATGTTGCTTGAACACATCCAATTGCAACAATTCACACATCAGCAACATTATGGGGCTCCTCTAGGGATGTATGGTAATAGCTTAAAAAAAAAAAATATAAAGTTTAATCCGGGAATCAGATAATGTTTTACAATTAAAGTGACAGTACAGTGGTGCAATTGCTGTATGGAAGCCAAACTGCTTATAAATAGAAAAATAATCAATTCCACAGCCAAATGTACAATGTTGGTAAGACTTGTTGGTATAGACCGGGTGTCGGCAACCCGCGGCTCCAGAGCCGCATGCGGCTCTTTTTCACCTTTGCTGCGGCTCCGGAGCACACTGCCCACCAGGTGACAGGCAATAGAGTTGCCGTAGCTCAGTGGTCGGCAAGCCGCGGCTCTTTACACATTTTAATGCGGCTCTTCTGTGTGCCGGGCGCCCGCTCCCCTCCCTCCTCTCGGGCGGCCGCCCCCCAAAAGTCAGAACTCTGCAGCTAGCCCAGCAATGGGCAAACTACGGCCCGGCGGACCTTTTAATCCGGCCCGCAGAGCGTGGCAGACATTGGCTGTCAGGATGTAGGCGGGGCAGTGTGACAAACTCCTCTCCTCTCACAGTCCACCCTGAAGACCGGAACGGTGCGGGAACACGGCGAGAGGAACGCGCGGAGCAAAGGTAAGTGAATTGACACAATATGGGGAATGAATTACTATAGGGGGGATGAATTACTATATGGGGGATGAATTACTATAGGGGATGAATTACTATATGGGGGATGAATTACTATATGGGGGATGAATTACTATGGGGGTTGAATTACTATAGGGGGGATGAATTACTATAGGGGGGATGAATTACTATGGGGGATGAATTACTATATGGGGGATGAATTACTATGGGGGATGAATTACTATGGGGGGATGAATTACTATGGGGGATGAATTACTATATGGGGGATGAATTACTATGGGGGATGAATTACTATGGGGGATGAATTACTATATGGGGGATGAATTACTATGGGGGATGAATTACTATATGGGGGATGAATTACTATGGGGGATGAATTACTATGGGGGATGAATTACTATATGGGGGATGTATTTTCAGTTTTAAAAATGTGGCTCTCAAAATAAATTTCAATCGTGGTTTTGGCGAGATTTGGCTCAGTTGAAAAAAAAGGTTGCCCACCACTGGTATAGGCCAAATTCTTTTGTAATACCACCATATAGAATTAAGACATCTTACAAGCTTGTTAGTTAAATAATTTGTGCATTTTCTTTTTTGTAAAATATCTATTTTTACTTTTGGATTTGTACATTTTCAATGTTGCCTGCAAAGCTGCTTGAAAATATGCTCTTACCCTTTGTATGGTATTTAAACAAGTGCCCCATGGCCCAGCTTCCAATGCTTTTTTTTTGGAAGTAGCTTACATACAGTATTAGGCCTACAAATTGCCAGAATTTAATAACAGGATGCACACCCCCATAGACTTGAATGGTTTGCCAAATTTCAAACAGGATTCACTGAACCCTTGGTGAATCGAATCCGGGTTGATACACCCATCTCTATTAACAAACTATATGACATTAAAAAAGACAAAGCTGCCATTTTTTGCTTGGCCTCATTCTTGTAACAATGTAAATATTAGTAAGGCTGAATTTAATAAATGACACCCCTTCTTATTGCTAAGTTTTTGTCAGTTATTCTAATAAATGTACAAGGCAGCACAGGCCCATATAAAACCATTTATAACTCTGCCCCAAATTACATCACCAATCT